AATCGACTATAAAAATTTAACCAAATAAAGTTCATATATCATATAATAATATGAATCAAAAATCTCAATTTTAGTTGTTGGGGTCCCGTAAGGTGATTTTAATAGCTTAGCCCCCATTTAATAAATTAGCCTATATGCATGGAGCTTAGATTTGTAGTTTGAAATGATTAATTACAACCCCTATAACAAGTGTGCAATTTCAGCTTCATCATGTATCCTTTGTTGGCAAGCACTCGTTATTAAATTCTCGTTTTTATTTTATATTATATTTTAAAATCCTTTAAAAAATTTATTTTTTACCGGAATTTATTTCTTATTATCGTGCTCACCAATATGATGTAGATGATTTTTTGTGATATCATGGAGTTTATATGAAAATTAGCTATACAACGACGATAATTTATTTTAAGCAAATAAATAATACTTATTATTATACATATTAATTTCAAGTAACTTGTTTATATTTTTAATATAATAAATAATATAAGCGATAAGATAGTAATTATGGAATATTTTTTAACTGTTAAAGTTTTTCAAAAATCCATCGCTCACTTTTAGTTTAGATATTAAATATTTGGTCATTGAATTATAATATTTTTAGGAGCTAAAGATAAAAGGGGGCTAATTAATAAATATCTCAAACAAATTTTTTCTAGCAAGTGTTTAGATAGTTTATTCTGTTTCATTTTCGCGATATCAATTCAATTATGTAGAATATAATTACACCTTTCGCAAATTTATTTTATTTATTTTATTTGATTTCGGATTTTCTTTTAATTTAAGTTTTTAATTTAATATCTAAGTGGTTGACAAAAGGGATATATTTAGTTGTTGCAGTATATTAATGGTTGTACTTTTATCATATATTTTCAAAAAAATTAGGATAATAAAAATAATCAAAATAATCGAAGATGCATTATCAATAAAAGTTATTACATCTTGAAATATAGTTTTTTTGGCATATAATTGGAGGAATTAAATCTTGCTTTATTATTGAATAAAGCAATTCATCTTCTATGAAAATATTAAAAGTTCGTTAATATTTCTTTCCAGTAAGATTTTCATAAGTATAATTCGTCTAAAATAAAAATTTGTTATTATTCTTATAACACAAAAAGGTAAACAAATTTACCTTTTTTTCGTGCCTTCCATTTTTTTAAAGAATCTAATATACGATAAATTTTATGCTGGGCATCTAGTAGGATCGCATCTTATCGACAAGAAAATGATGAACTTTCTCCTCATAATTTTAAGTCAACATCATAAAATCACATGATAACAATAGTTTAACTAATCATATATTACAGCATTGTTCCGAGTGGGTGGCTAATCTATATTATCATATGGGAGGTTTGCTATTAAAAATCAAGTTACGAACATAGTAAATCATATGATCCGTAACGTGATTTTAATAAGCTTACCTCCCATATGTGAAATTTCATGCGATACCTAATACTAATCTCCGCTTCATAACAAACTGGCGCAGTTTTTTAGTTTAGTATCACCATAAAAAATAAGGTTGCTAGTTGAATCAATATATTTAGTAATAGAGAAAGTTTTAAGTAATTATACACTGCAAAATTATTCGACAAGTAGAAACCTTTACATCTTGAAAAAAAAAAAATATCGTTAAAAATTTTTTAATTAATTATTTACGGTATTATCTAACCATATTTGAGCTAGCTGACGAAAAATTCAAAGTTTGAAATCTCGAAATCATTGCTTTATGAGATTATGAATGGTATAGCTGGCATAGTGTAACTTAAATTCCTGAAATAAATTTCGATTGCTGCGCCCTGAAGCGATCAAAATTACAAATCATTGCCGCGGTCCGTGCCATTAAAAACATAAAATGATTTAAAATAAAAAAAAACCTATATATCTAATACATCTTCTATCCAAAATATACTCCATTCGAAAGTTGAAAATAATCTGGCATCTGAAAAAGTCTTTTTGATTATGTTACCTTTTTTATTATTTAGGTTTTCGAGTAGAAGTATTAGTAAGATGGCATGATAACAGTTATTAGAATGGCTTCCTATATTATTACTAACCTAACTCAACAACTGTTTGAAAAAAACTCAGCATACCATGGTATGTAACTTGCTAAACCATTATTTGTCAGTTGAAAAGTTTTTAATGACTATATTTATAAAGTGTTTATTGTTCGATTAGAATAATGAAAGTTTTGTAATTATTTTCAAAATTTACAGCAACTGTTAAGAAAGTTATCGATATTCATTGAAAGTATTTTTTTTTTTTTTAACGATGTGCATTGAAAGTATTGGTTTCTAAATTTTCTGCGCCTTATGTGATGTTTCGTGTAACAAGAACAACAAGAACGCACCAATCGTTTTGGGACATAAAATGGCGATGTATTCATTTGATTTTATTGGTTTTAAAAATTATTTAATTTTTTTATGTCATCAAACACAATTGTGGCCACATTCAAATTCTTTGTAAAAGCGGTATATTAAAACATATATGAGAGTTAAAATGCTAAAGTCTTTCTTAAATTCAATTAAAATCATATTTGATTTGTTATATATTAATTTATTGCAACACTTAAAGATGATCGGCAGCTTGTTTAAACTAAAATTGTTTAAGACGATATTTTTTTTTTGGAATTCTTATACAATAAATACCATACGCTTATTATCCATATAAAGGTGTGTGTAATCAGCAAAATTGCTTGAAATTTTTTCTGTTTTTTCAGAACTTAAGAAAAACAAAATTTCACAATGAATGAACATAATGAATATGAAAATTTGTGTCCTAATAATGATTTTGTCAATTATATTTCGGGATTTTATTGTTTATTAGATTTACACAATGATACAAGTAAATCTGTTTTAATTTTTAATTAATTTGTATTAAAGGACTCTTAATTGATTTTATTGTATTCCCTTACAATAGTTGACCACATCTCTGTATCAAAAGAAGGATTAAAGAACTTATGCAATGACTTTGTTTCAGACAGTTTTCAATCAGTTTCAGAAATTGATTATAAGCAATTAAATTCACAATCATTGCATTTGATTGGATGTTATGGAAATCATAACTTAATTGCAAAGCTTTTGTTAAATCACGAAAAAATTGATCAACCATTGTAATTATGCGACTGTTTTATTTACGATTTCACCATTATAATAGCTATTAAATATAATTTTTTTTTTATTGCTAACTATATCTAGGTATGACATGTTGATTCGTCCATCATCTCTTCGCCCAGGAATTTATTTCTTGGTGTTCAATTCTAAATTAGGTTTAGTAATTCATTGGTCCGAATATGGATGCTATGAAAATCGTGCTCCTTTACGAATAGTGAAAAATATGATAAACCTTCACCGGTAACTACACATTTCATATGGAACTTTAGATTTTATTAATCTTAATTGACATTTGATTTTATTTAGGTGCTTGACAAACTTGACGGACTATCAAATTTGTTTAATGAGTGATCGAGACTTGAACAGGTTTGATTGGAAAAAAGAAGTATCATCAATTGACAATGATGATGATTCGTGTTATGAATTCGAGGTCAAGAAAAGTCAAAAACAAGAATTTGCATTTTTCAATGGGTATAACGTATGTCATAATTTAAATTAATATATGCTTCCTATCCTATTTACATGTGTTGTTTTGCTCATTAATATAATGTATCATATTAGATTTCTTTACCAGAGGCTATTGAATCAGAAATCAAAAATCAATCTTACAATGAAATTTCATTGCAACCAAAAGGTAAAGTTGATCTTTTTCCGTCAGGTTTCCTTTTTTTAAAAAAAAAAATCATAATAGAAATTTGCTGATTTAAAAATTATTTCTCTTTTGAAAGTCGTTGAATCGATTTCGTGTCAAGCTTTTGTTACACAAATGATAATTACGCCTTTTGACACGAAAAAGAATAGTGCTACTAGAAGAAAGTCAACTTTCGGTGATTTTATGAATAAATTTGGAGATCATTCTATAAGAATTAATCGTTCAACCATGGACATGAATAAGCTTAAAATTCTTATCGACTATGGATTAAATATATATAATTTGAAGGAGCAATTAGTTCAATATGATGATGAAATGAATTATGAATTGAAAGAATTTGTTAAGAGGGAAAAGCAGGAAGTGCTAGCTATTCAAAATGGTGCTTATGATTTAGAAAGGATAGCTCGTAAAAGACTTAAAGAATTATATAGGTAAATTAATTTTATCTTTACAGTATCTCTTAATTAAAAAATTAAAATTTTCAAGTATTATTTAGATGTTTTGACGATAATAAATCAGATGAAGTTGATGAGCCAGAAATTAGCAAGGGTAAATTTACTTCATTTTAGTTTATTAGTATTTTATCTACTAATTCACGATTATTATTTCACAATTAGATATCGAGGGATTATTTTTAAAATATCCTAATTTAACGGTCAAATTGGATGCGGCATCAAAAATCAATACAGATGAATGGATGCAATTAAAACGAGGATTTAGTTATGGAACATTATTGATAAAGGAAGTTCAAGCACAAGCATCCAATAATGAAGAATTGGACAACAAAGAATTGGATGATGCTATTTGGCAAGCATTTTATAAAGTTTTAAATGGTTCACACCCTAAACCTCTCACATTTAATCACATTTACAAAGATTATTTTAAGAATCTGAGAACAAAATTACACATGAAGCATAAATTTACTTTTAAATTGGATGACATTCAAATTAACGAATATTATAATCAAGCAATGTCTATTGATTTATCGGATTCAACAATAATTGATTTATTATTAGATAACGAATTTTGTCCAAATAACTCAAAACTTAGAGAATCAATTATAAAATTATTTCGTGATATATATGATGAATGGAAAATTAATAAATTTTCAGATAATATTAATAAGCTGGATTGGTCGAAGCATATAGAAGTTGAACATAAAAAGCATAAGCAAGATATCTTAAGGAACACATTTGAAAAGCTTTGCGAACTAATTGAGGAAAGGTTTCCAGATGGGTAATTACTGCATTTATTATGCATTACTTTTTTAATTTTTATTTTTATTTTACTCTTTTTTGATATTTATAATTTTACTATTAGTCCTTTATTTAATGTCTTAAATATAAGTTTAACTGGTAATTATTGAATATTTCTGATTTTAATTCATCGTTAACTTTAAACATTTAAATAAATTTTAATACATTTTTCAGAACAATTTTTTATGGTGAGCAAAATCACAATAGATTATGAAGTCGTCATTATGCAACCAGCACAGTTACAAATAACGATCTATGAAACAATACTTGAGAAAGATGATTGTTTAAAAGTTCATACTTTTACAATTGAACCCGAAAATAAATTAATGTATTGTATTTATAATTTGCTCATTTATTTTATTTTTAATACCGTATTTATGACAAATTAATTTTCCTTTAGGCATATATCTAAGTTTGATCACCCTGAACACCACCCAAAATATTTGTCAATAATTTGGAATAATAAAACAAATCGAATGGAACTACGCATTGACACTATACAAGGCTCTATAATTGATAATACAAAAAAATATCAGAATATGATGAATGCAAGTAAATTCTGTCTTATCGCCGTAAACGAATCGAAAAGGTTAATTGGGATATATAATACTGATAATGGCATGGTATGCACCTTATATTAATTTATTTATTAAAAAGTTTAGAAGGAAAATTAATTTTTTGTTAATTCTAGCTTAACGTATTTTATTATGACGAACAAATAAATCTTCATACACGTAACATAAATATTCGAATCTTTGGATGGTATAATAACTCAGTTCCTGATATTGGTCATTTTTTATTTATCGAAAATACGGAGGAGCTATGTTTTGTTGAGAAAAGCGGCCGTGCAAGAATTTATAACCTTGCTAACGGTCAATTTCGAACAGATGTTTCTCAATTTCCTCCCGAATCCACCAAAATTTTAAGTACACCTGATGGGACTTGTATTGTTGCATTTGTAAAAGAGCAACAGCAATCTTTATTACCAGAAATTGATTCATCAGAAATTAGTCTTGGCAAAAAAGATGATGATGGCGATACACAAAAAAGTTTTGAATCCTTCAAAGATTTAGTTAAGGTTTATGTATATTTATCTCAGACTTTGGAAAACCGGCAAATAAAGGTATATATAATGTTATTTTTTTTATTTTTTATATTTTTAATTTTTAATTTTTTTTTTTTTTAAAAAAAAATTTGTTAGTTATTGAAATGCCCTCAAATATGTCAAATATGCAATTCGTGGAATATTTTAAATTTTACATGTCAGAAAACCGTCAAACTTATCTTACAACACTTGACATCAATATTGGTGTTTCAAAAGCCTTGATCGTTAAAATTGTGGATGATAAAAAAGCAAATTATCAACTTCAACAATGTCATCTTGAAAAATCGACCGGACAGGTTAAATTTGAATCTGCAGCATATTCAGATGATCATCTCGAGAAATCATCCATTCTTATTGGTAGACAGACCAACTTTACTCAAGATATTGAGGAAGGAGAAAATATTATTATTATGGATAATAGTTATGAAGTAATTGAAATAATCTCCGATATTCGAATAAAGATAGCTGACAATGTTTCTTCCCTTTTTGGTGTTGAATCATGGTATGATTTTCGTATTGAACAAAAGACAAAACTTAATGGATTGATAGATTCATATAAATTAATGTTTGAAAAGTATCCAATTGATAATTGTATTGATAATGAACAAAATAGGCCATTTTGTTTACATATTGTTTTAGATATTTTATCACATGGTGATAATGCTGTTGACATATTTCGTAAATATCGTACAAATTTTGAAGAATATGTATTAGACATGTTTAAAGATCTAAAAAGAGAAACAAACAAGCCGCAACTTGTTTTGAAAGAGTTTTTGACATGTGTAAGCACTTTTCAAGAGTTTAATGTTGATAATTTAATCCGATCAAAGAAAAATAAGATGAAAAATTATCAACTCGGGGAATGGATCATACAACTATTATGTTTAATTCCTATTCAAATGCTGTATCAAAAAATCATCAATTCCAACCGTTGTGTGATGGATCATTAAAAGCAGAGAGCGAACAATCTGATGGATATCATATTATGGATAATATTACTCGTAATATTTCTTTTGGATGGTATGAAGGAATCCTTAATCATTTTGGAGATCGCAAGGTTAAAGTTGTTTCAAGCATGGGTGAACATTCTTGCGGAAAGTCATATTTATTAAATCATCTTATTGGAACTTCCTTCGATGGTTCGGAAATGGTAGTTTTTTGTATTTGATTTTTTTCATTCTGATATTTTCTTATAAAGTCTTTACTAAATTATATGATATTTTAGCGTGAGGGTGTATGGATGTCTCTAGGTAAAAATAAATTAATTTTGAATTTCTTTTACAATATAAATTCACCTATATTTTTATTTCCTTCAGTAAATACCCAAAAATGTATTTATGTCGCACTAAATTTTGAAGGTTTAGTGTCACTTGAGAAAAGTTCTCAAGATGGTGTGTATAATATATAATTTTTTATTTTATTATTCACTATCATCACAATTACCTTATATGTATGCACCTTTTTAGATTTATTTTTAGCCCTTTTTGGTACAGTCATGTCTAATCTCATATTCTTTAAGGTAATATCGTTTTATTTAGATTTTTTATTAACCTTATAATCATTATTCGTTATTTACTGATACAGAATTTTTGAAATTAAACAGTGTCATTTTGCGATAAATAGAGATATGTCTTTAATGTTTCAAAGGTTTCAGGATGGTGCAATGTTATTCGAGTCAGATCCAAAATTGTTTCAGGTATAAAAAATATTTTTATTTTTAAATATGAAATCTTAACTTTATTAGTTTTATTTAATATCTTTAATGATTTAGGCAAAACTATGTGTTATCATAAAGGACGTGCCTAGGACCGAAAAAGAAGAAATTGTTAGGGAATTTCAGTCAAAAGTTTCTCGATTAATTTCCAATGTACTTTATTTTTTACTATATATTGTTTATTTGTGCGACCTGCTTATTTTATTCTTAATGTTTTAGGAGGGTGAAAATAATTTTATTTCAAGAATGTTTCAGGGTGAATTAAATGTCATTCCTTGGCCAATGTTTAATGATGCCGCATGGTTTAACGCCTTATCAGATGTTAATAAGAAGCTAGACGAGCAGGAGGCAAAATGTGATAACGTGCGAGCTTTCTTACAAAATACAAAAGTAATCATGGCTAAATTGAAGGTATAGTGAAATGATTAGCATCTTTAAATTTGTTAAAAAAATTGAATTTTTATTTTCGTATTAGATATGTGAGTGGAGTTCGTTAGATAATTCCCTCATACAGATTCGTATTGCAATGTTAATGAGATTACTTCCTACTGCGGTTTCCTATGGAATGGAACAACACGGTGTTATTGCTAGGCAACTTATGGTAATATATATTTGTTCAATTCCTTTTAATATATCCGTAACCTTATCAACGTTTTGACGAAATCGTGCATTCAATAGAATCATGACACCGGAGAAAGTATTGATGATCCGATAGTCGATTTTTCCAAAATTTTGGACGATATTGATGAATCCGTTGAAGTTTTGCCAGATTCTGATGTCAAATTATATGACGAACATGAATCTTTTGTTCGACTGTCTGAAGATTTAAAACGTTACTTTGAGGAAAATATACAATCACGAAAAGATTTATCCGGTGACAAATGGTTTACCAACTTTGATATATTCTTTAGATACATTATTGAGCGTCGTGTTTCACGTATCCAAGATTGGTTTACTCAAAATACTGCCAAGTTTCCACAAAATAATATAGAGATTGTTAATGGAAAATATGCAATGGAGCAAGAAATAAGCAAACTTACGATTCTATGGACCCTATGTGGATTAACGTATCATCAATGTGATTTGAAATGTGTCAAAAATCTTGATCACAATGAACAACATGATTGTTTAACGGATCATAAATGTCATTCTTATTGCCAATTTGTTGAAGCTCACAACAATAAATTAGTTCCGAGATGCATGTACAAAGCTGAACATGAAGGAATGCATGTTTGCGACAAAGTAAAACATGCATGTAGTAAACCATGTGATCTTGCCGATAAGGGTAAATGCCAGTTGGTTTGCTCAAAGGAAATGGGACATGGTGATTAAACATTTATGTCAATCGTCACGTCATTATTGTGGGAAGGCCTGTTCATTACAGAAAGAAGTTTATCATTGTCGTAATAAATGTATTATACCACATGATGAACAACATACTTATCACCGCTGTGAAAATGAACTTTGTCCAATTCAATGTCCAATTCCGAATTGCCGAAAAAAATGTCATAGCAATGATCATTTTCACTCGGATTTGCACGGGGATCATTTTTGTGGGTATGTAATATCATATTATTTGTATTCTCCGAATATATTTAATTTATATAACATTTATGATTCAAGGAATGAACATCAATGTCGTGAATTATGTGAAGAATCCGGTGTATGTAAAATAACGACTGAGCCCAAGGAAAAATCACGCGTGGAATTTACAAAGGTATAAATCAAGTTGTAAGTAGTAGTATTTGAGATAAGAATGTAACATTATTCTTCCGATGTTATTTTAGTATTTTCAATTAGGTGAAAGACTAAGATGTAATAGAAAAATTCCTCCGAATAAATTTAAGCATGATGGAGGACATATACATGAAGAGGGCGGTTTTCATTTTTGTGATGCAAAGTGTCGTTTCTGTGAATCTTTTGTATGTATTATAAAAAATGCGTGTATTCTCTTCAACTTATTCAAGAAAATTTTTTAATATATATTTATATTTATTATTAGTGTATATTACCTTATGGGCACACACAATTACATGATACAAGACATGGAAATATGTCACAAATTGCAGAAATTGAGTTAATTGGAGAAGATAATGAACCTGAATATGCAGGGTATGATATACAGTTATAATTACATCGCTTTACATAATTTAATTAATATACTTTTTTTGATCTTTAGGCTTAAATTAAGAGTCGGTGATCATAGAACCTTTTATCTTTGTAACCTGGTATGATAATCCATCAATTTACTATTCCTTGTCATTCAAAATGTATTAAGCATTATTTCCTTGATACTAGTGCTGTAAAAATATAGGTAAACATCATCATATTGATCACGGTCAGAATGAAGATAATCGGCCCGTTAATGGTAATTTGAGAATGATTTTCTGTTGTAAATATATTTGCATTTGTATTTATTAACTATTTATTAAATTATAGACAAATTTAAGCCTGATCCTCAGAGAAAAATGGATCTCGTTTCTCATGAACTATTCTGGGAACGAACAGGATTTAAAGGTATTTATTATATTTTTATGCACCTCCTTAAATATGCTTAAATATCTTTATTTATATATTTATATATTTTAGATCCTTATTCGGTTCAAGAACAAAAAGAATTCATAAAATATGAAGACAGCGAAAGTCAAAGTTCAAAGTAAATACATATTTGACTGAATACTATTATTAAATTAGTTTTCGATTAATTTAGATTATTTTGAAATAAAAAATTTCAAAGCTATTATAGTACAGTCGAAGTGGTCTATAACGAATTTCTGTATTCTGAATTTCACGTTACTCGAATCACATGGACGGTACCAAATTTTATTAAATAAAATAGTTGTATTTGATTAAACGAAGTTTTCGATATAACGAATTTTTTGTTAAAATTATAAGGGTTATAATGAATTTTTTTTTTAGTAGCAAATGTAACTATTAAAGGAATATTACATTAAAATAAAATAAAATGATACTTTAAATATTCAAACCGATCATGATTCTTGCATTATAATTTTTTTTGATAAATTTTTTATTCAAAAATGCCAAAAAATAAAAAAAATAAAATTGACAAAGGCAAGGCTCCTGAAGTATAAAGAACCAGAGCTTCTCTCACTGGTGATTAAAAAAAGAAATGTGTTTAAAGAGTTTACAAAAGCCAAAACCTAAAAATAAGAAGCTTGCTCAAGAATATAATGTTTCAGAAGGAATGATATGTGATATCTTAAAAGAAAAAGAGAAGTGGTTAGAATTAAAATTGGATTCTTATAAAGCTTTCACTTAAAAGACAAATTAAAGTAAAATTTCCACAAATTGAAGAGGTTTTACGTTTTTGGGTTAAAAAGGCAATAGAAAATAACATTATTATCAATTGGCATAACAAGCAAATGACTTTGCAATATTATTAAATCAATCAGATTTTAAAGGATAGGTGGAGGGGTTTTAAAAAATGCCATAAACTTGAATGTTATCTTAAACATAAAGAATCAGCAAGTGCTTCTATAGAAGCTTTAGATAATATATATAAAAATCTTCAAAATATTCTTGCAGATTATTTACCAAATGATATTTTTAATGCAAATAAAACTGGATTTTACTGGAAAATAAAACCAAATTGTATATTATCAACTGAATCAGTAAATATATTTAATTAATACTTAATATAAACAATTACAAATAAACAAATTAAATATTATTTACCTTAGTAATAAGACAAAAACAATTTAAGAAATATGTTACTGTTATATTATGCTGTAAGTGTCAGAAACTGAGAAACTTAAAGTAATTTTTATTGAAAACATAAAAATTTACATGTCTTAAAAAATATTGTAAAATCATTTCTTTCAGTATATTATTATTGAAATAATAGCCTATATGCAAGTTAGTGTTTAAAATAATTAGTTAAAAAATTTTGATATATACTTATAACTTCAAAATTGATATATAATTTTACTTTATGATGGTATATATACTCATATTTTATATGAGATACTACTCTTACCAATATTCAGCTTTATAAATTACCTCTTAATACAATAGCACATTTTTAACATATGATACTAGGATTATTAAAAATTATAAGTATTACTATTTTTATTATAAAAAAATTAATTTATTTAAATTGATTAAAATTAATACATACTGGTATATCTATTATATAAGCGTAATATTGAAAATTATTTTTAAAAATTGTATTAAAGAATTTAATTATAGTCAAAAAATTGGTAAACTCATTTTTGAAATTACTATTAAAAAGGCAATCAAATATGTAGCAAAAGTATGGGATTTAGTTCAATTAAATACAATTTTAAATTATTGGAAAAAAACAAATATTCTTTCATTTAATAATAAAGATATTGATATTGATAATAGAGATTCTCTTACCAGTGATATTGATTATATTGATAAAATACAAGATTTTATTAACCAATTAGCTTTTAATATTTATAAAGATCCGATTTTTGCAGAATAATATCTTTAATATGAAAAAGAAAAAAGAATTCATCAAATAATAACTAATAAAGAAATTTTAAAATTTTTAAGAGAATTAGATAAAGATATTGAAGAAGAAGTTGAAGTTCTTATTATTAGCAATTATGAAGCATTAATAGCACTTGAAAAGTAATTATATATAATGAACAAAAAACTAAAAAAATATAATTTTAAAAAGAATAAATTTGCGTAGTAAAAAAGTTGCGAAAAGTTATAGAATGAGAAGAATTTTTTTTATGCAATAAATTACATTAGATTCTTTTGTAAAAATAAATCTGACAGGTGAATAAAATGAATAGAAATTTATAAAGTTTATAGCGAAAGATTTTTTTTTTACTAATTTATTTAAATATATAATAAATATAATAATAAATATTGTAAATAATATACTAAATTTATATATGATATTTGGTATAATAACATAATTAATAAACTTAAAATTCAGTATAATATTATCAAATTCTTTTATTATAATGAACTTTTATCTGAAAATGGAGATTTGTTATAAAATACTTTAATTATATTAAAAATAATTACTTTAAATAAACATAGCTGTATAATCTTTACATTGATTTTAATTTTTTTTTTTTAAAAAATAAACTAATAAATTTACTTTAAAGTAGCCATTACAAGAATGGGTTATTTTATTTTTTTTAAAAATTTATTAAAATACAGATTCTCATAATAATACTAAAATCAAAGTATCATAAGTAAAGATGGTTACCGCAATAAAAAAATGGCGCAATTGAGTTGCAACTTGTGGCATAATTAAATTTCCTTATGACACAATTAAGTTGCAACTTAATTGAAATTTTAAAAATAATTATGAGGACTATCTTTAGTCATAAGCATTATAAAAAAAATTCTTATGTATTCTTATCACTGCTTAACTTATTTAAAGGATTGATTAGAAAGATCAAATTTTCATTGTTTATTTATAATAAAGAATCTAAGAATCTACCTAATGTTTGAATTTGATTTCAAAAATAATTGAAGATATTTATAATCAAAAAAATCCATCAGTTTATTCTTTGATTAATATAAAATCAAAACTTTAAAAGAAAATTTTCAAGAATATTACATTATCTAACAGTATAAAAATTCATATTTAATTTGAGAAAGTAAACTATTTATATTAGTAAATTTCTTTTTATTATTCCAAGATAAATAAACTACATAAATTTCCAATCAATCTATTTTTAAGGAATCAATCATATGAATTCCTTAATAAAGACCAAAAATAAGTTACTACAACAACAAAACTTAAAAATACTTAATTTAAAGAATTTGTAAAATATGCGCATCCAGTTGTTACATGTCAGGATGTTGTTAAAAGAATTTGTATTATTGGATTAATTGTACTAATTGAATATGATGATAATTTTTATCTAAACTTTCAATTATAAATATTAGAAATTTCGAAACCAACATTTCTTGTATCTTTTAATAGTACATAAAAATAAAAACTCTTTAAAACTCCCTTAAATGCAAATCATGAAAATTCGAGATAATTAATAATGTTTTGGTGCTCTGAAATAGCATCATAAAAAAATAAAAAAAATTTTTTTATTTTTTAAGATAATATCTCACACTACAATCACTTTCATTATATGTTTAATAGCGACATGATTTTTAACACAAAACAATTGTCCATTGCTCAATTCTTTAGAGCTTTCACTTCAGTTCAATTAATACTTTCATTTTCTTCAACATAATGCTTTTCTCTGGAATTGATTACCCGGAACACTCACAATCATCCATGATAAAGGTATTATGGTATATTTGGGGCAAATTCTTATTTTTCGTAATATTGTTAAGTACAACTACCGCTAAATCACCATAGATCATGACCGAATCCAATATTATTCAATTTACATGACATATCACATATCAAATATCGAGAATGTTGCATCCTGTTTAAAATATATTCACCTTGCTCACAAGTCTCTGAATTGGAACGAAAAGATAAACAAATCACCCGTCTGCAAATATGTATCAGATGAACTCCAAATTATTAAGGATACTACTACTACAAATCTCATTGACATCATCCTCATGAATGCTATCGCAACTATCAACACGATCACTACTGCAAATATTATTAACTTTGATGACAAGCACTTTAAATAACACTAAGTTTGGACCTTAGTTGTCGCATAATTCATGAAATGTCTTTACGTTCATACCATCTCTATTACCTCTGAACAGTAATTGAAATTCAACTTTATCTCTATTCTGTTCTATCCACATGTTCAACATACCGGCAAATTTGGAAGTAACGTATAAAGAATCAATCTTACGTTTGAGTAAATGCATTGATAAATTGTAACTAATTCTAAAAGTGGTAATTCAGTAATAAAATAACTTCATATTTCAACTTCGCTAAATCCAAATTTTACGCTTAATTATCGTTAACAATGAACATCTTCCTAATCGTATAAAGAACAGTGTGGTGAAGGATTTTCACAAATTAATCGGCTACAGTGATGGCTAATAATGAGAAAGTTGTCGAATGTGTGATGATAAAATATGGGACCTTTTCAATAGAAAGGGAACTGTCAGAAAAAATCAATTTTACTTCTATATGCCAAATATGATTTTTGGGTCAATATATGTTCAAATTTAGCATTAACTCATTTTTTATTTTTTCCAGACGTTTCCCACTTTCCTATTGCAAAGGTCCGATATATGTACGAAATTATCATGTAATCATTATCGATTATGTGTGATTGAATAAACACCTTCTTTCAGTTTATTATAAAAATATTTTCAGCAACTTCAAATAGATCTCGCATGTCTGGTTCTTTCAAGCCGCATAACCCAATATAAATTTTTATTAGCATAGGAACATTTCTAATTTAGTGATTATCTGTCGATCATTATCGATCATTAACGATCACTTGCGATCATTAGTTTTAATTAAAATATATACAAGAAAATAAATAAAAAAATATAGAAAAAATTATAGGCATATTATTTAAACTATAAAGTTGTAAAATCAAAACAAAGATAAAGAACAGAAGAACTTTTCTTGTACTAAAAAGTTTTCCGCTAATCATCTTCGTCTATAGTTGCTGCTTCTCTCCTATCTTTCTCTTCTGAATTTTCTAATACTCCTTTTGATAATCTGTCCATAATTTTGGGAAAAGTTTTTAAACAATCACTATGATATACGTGACCACAAATTATTTATTTAGAAATACCTTTTTTTTACTGTTACACCGGTCATTATTGAATCGGTGGCTTAGAAGCTTAACGTTACATAATTTACCAAGTGCATTTTTTTTTGCTTTTTCATTTTACAAAAATTAAAAAAAATAAAATGCAAGACAATAATTCAAATGTCTGGATAAATTTGATAGAGGAATATATTTTAAGAAATAAAATCAAATGCTACGAATACGAACATTTTAACAATATTCAAGAGATTGGTACTGGCAGCTTTGGAAAAGTCTATCGTGCAAATTGGCTCGCGTTAAAATCCTTTCATAACCTTAACAATGACACGGTTAAGGAAATAGTTCGTGAGGTAATTACAAATGTTAAAATGTATTTCAGTCTATTTCAATCTTTTAATATAAATCATTTATATATCAAACTAAAATTAATTTTTTAGCTCGAATTTCAAAGTGAAGTCGATTTTCATGATAACATTATTCGCTTTTTAGGGATAACTTCAAAACAAAGTATGTAATGTTCATAATAAAACTTATTAAAGATATATATTGATATTTTTATATTTATTTATATTTATATTTAACTCATAATAATTTTTTAAAAATTAAAAAAAAATTTTAGAAAATAATGTTCATTTGAAAAAGTATTGGTTAGTAATGGAATATACTGATGGCGGCTCACTTAGAACCTATTTGAAGAATAATTTTAATAGGCTTACATGGGATGATAAATACAACTTTGCTTTTCAGTTGGCTAGTGCTGTGTCATGTATTCATGAAGAAGGAATTATACATCGTGATTTGGTAACCTTACATGATATCTGTATCTTAATTTATTTATGTATTAATAATTAATAAATAATTTTTATAATTTTATTATAGCATTCTGACAATATTTTAATTCATCATGATATTATTAAACTTGCTGATTTTGGATTATCGAAAAGGATTGAAGCGGCATCTAAACAACAGTCAAAAGTCTTTGGTGTAATTCCTTATGTTGATCCAAAAAGATTTGGTGGACGAAATTGAATTGCCAATAAATCACAGCAAGTTAATCTAACTGAGAAGAGTGATATTTATAGTGTTGGCGTATTGTTATGGGAGATCTCAAGTGGTCGACCTCCAATTTATGTTGAAGGTGAACCATACGATATTGATTTAGCCATTGATATTTTACAAGGACTCAGAGAAAGTATCATTCCGGGTACGCCTGAAGATTATGTAAAAATTTATACTGGTAAAGACTATTATAAATTATAAATTAGAAATTATAAACTTAAATTTAAATATAATATTTTTAGACACTAAATTATTTTTTATGGTTTTAGAATGCTGGGACAGCGAGCCGGACAATCGTCTGTCTATTAACAAAGTGGTTGATGAATTAAATGCAATTATTGAATCAAACCTTCAATCATCGGAACAAAAAATTTATTCTAGTATGAATAGTTCATTACATGGGAACTTATCTCAATTGATTCAAAACTTTAATCAAATGAATGTAGAAGTAAGGTCGAATAATGAAACATCCGTCATCATTTACAATGATACTATTGAAAGTTTAACGATTACAGATCTTAACAAGGATATATTAAACGTCTTTGGAGGATTGCAAAGATATAGGAAATTAAAAGTACTCAATTGTAGTAATACACAAATAAATAGCTTACCAACTTTACCCGACTCCATAACAATACTCAATTGCAATCATACCCAAATAAATAGTTTACCAACTTTACCCGATTCCTTAACAAAACTCTATTGCAATGAAACTCCAATAAAAAACCTACCAACTTTATCTGACTCCTTAACGGAACTCAATTGCAATAATACTCAAATAAATAGCTTACCAACTTTACCTGACTCCTTAATAAAACTCGAATGTTTTAATACTCCAATAAATAGCTTACCAACTTTACCTAACTCCTTAACAATACTCTATTGTAGTAATATTTTAATAAATAGCTTACCAACTTTACCTAATTCCTTAACAAAACTCAATTGTAATAATGCACAAATAAATAGCTTACCAACTTTACCCGACTACTTAACAATACTCTATTGCAATAATACTCAATTAAATAGCTTACCAACTTTACCAAACTCCTTAAAAAAACTCTGGTGTTTTGATACACAAATAAGTAAATTACCAAATTTACCTGATTCTTTAATGGAGCTCATATCTGTATCTTTATATAGCATTAAATATTAAAGAATTTTCATCATTCTTCTGTAGTTTAATTATTTCTTAGCAACATTATATTGTTTTAATTTCAAATAAAAAATTTTAACAAATTATGATTATTTTTCTCCTAATAAAATTTTAAATTTGACATGGTCACCCAGTTTATTTTTTACACATTTTTTATTATATTACATTTAGTATTACATAAATAAATTAAAATTTTAAACAAATATATCAACTATTAATACAATAAACATGATTTTGTGATTTTTATTTCAGTTTTCTAGAAACTGTTATCTTCAATCAATTTATTTTAATCATTGTATAGCTGTTTCAAGGATTTCTAAGCATTGACTCATATCTCATTAATATGCATTAATTGTATAATAAACTATTATATAAAGTCACGTGATAATATAAAAGATAACTGTAGTAATGAGAAGACAAAAAAAGCTGTATCACAAGATAAATAATCTGACATGTGATTTTAAGATATTATTCATCAATACTCAATTATTAAGAAAAACTGAGCTTTACTAAAACATATCTTGAACGGTGTTAAGAGGAATTATGAGAATTATTTAGTAACAATATACTTGAAACGAATTTCTCAGCTATAGTGATAAAATATATTATAGATTATTATTAGAATATAAAGAAAAACATAATTTCAGTTCTTTTAATATGTTGAAATAGAATAATTTAAGAATGAAAAGAACAAAGTAATCATACGATTAAGGAAAGTTTAGTAATATAAGAGTAATAATTAAATGATAAATTTGTTTATATTTCAATCTAAAAAAAAGTATATAATAGTTACAATTAATATAAATTCTTGTAAATTTTATATTAAAGAGTAAAATTAACTTTTCTTTATTTTACCTAGTAATGTATTTTTACCAAGATAAACAATAAATATCTATTAACTTTATTTTATTTCTTTTTTTTAGAATGATTCTATTAGCATTCAAATTATGAAGGAGTTTAAATAAGGTGTAAATTATTTAACATACTTTGTATAATTCAAATATTAGATGCATTTGATATTTATATCATTAAAAAAGATGAATAATATAAGTTTTTAGAATTGAAATTCAAAATATTTTTAATATCTCAAACTTTCAATGATTGTTAAAGAGATCAAGAGAAGAATATTTTCACAAAAATCATTTATAACATATATAAATAAAAATCGTTTTGGTAAAATATGTGATGACTCAACCTATATGTTTATTAATAATAATCTTAAAAAACAATCATTTATCTTTAACTTGATTTGGAACAATTAAATAACTTTTTTTGCATCCTCAATTGATTTACTGAAAAATATGTGATCTACAGTTAGACTTTTATTTTGAATGATTTTATTCAATACTTCTATAGTTAATTTATAAAAATATAAATAATTTGAAATAAAACTTTAACTAAATAAATATTTAATATTTTATAAATGTAATGTTTATTCTTTATTTTTAGAATCTGAACTATTAGACTCAAACATACAGAAGTAATGGAGGCAGAAGAATATCTTTTTTAATTAATTACCTTTAAAAACTTTTATTACCATTAATTTCTTATTGTTTAAAATTCCAGATTTGAGATAAGGAATTTTTAAAGGTAAATTAATATTCAAAAAAAATACTTACAAATTTCTATTTGAGCTATCACTGATCTGATTCTAAAGTTTAAAGATTACAAAATAAAAAAATCAAATGTGAATTACATCTGATCAAGATACTAATATTTTAAACTTCCAGATCAATATACAGTATATAACACTTCTATGCAAATAGCTAAAATAAAGAAATATACATTTTTATATATCTTAAACTCCAAATTTAATTAGGAATAGTAAAAATTTTCTTAAAAAAATAAAAAAGTTTCATTACCAATACTGCGTCGCTGAGATACTTCAGTTCAATTTATTAAACTATCCTTCCTATTTTATTTTA